AGATGATAATAATGATAATAATAATAATAATAATAATAATAATGTTTGTGATAACGACGACGACGACGATGATGACGACGACGTCGACGATAATATTAATAATAATAATAATAATAATAATAATAATAATAATAATAATAATAATAATAATAATAATAATAATAATGATAATGATGATGATAATAATGATAATAAAAATAATTATGATGATGATGATGATGATGATGTATTTCTTTGCAATAAGAATATTTTAGTATTGGATATTTTTACTTGGTTGCATTAAGTAAATAATCTGTCTAATTTTCGACCAAATGAATGACTCAGTTCGCTATATTGTTTATTATCAATTAATCTGTTCTTTCAAATGTGTGCACTTTCCTAAATTATTCTAATTCTCGAAATGCCAACGGGGAGATTGATAATTTTTGACAAGTTAACATGTCCTTTACGCTATTTTATTTATCTTTCTTGAGTTTTCTATTAATTTATAAAATTGACAAATGTTTACATATGGCTAATGTGTGACAAATTGTCGAAGGTATTAATTGTTTTCTGTCTTATAAGTGTACATTTTCCCAGGACCACGCTTCTCATTTCTCGCCTTTTCCGTGTAACATTATTTTCCCATAAAAAATAACTGTTATTTTATTACTTGTGGGGTATAGGTGAAGTTTTTTGATTGGAGTGTCAAAAACATTAAATTAGCTGGTATATTTATGTATCGTTGAGTGATATGTTTAAATAATAAGATTGGGGATAGGTTCATATGACATGAGAAAATTTATTATTCCGACACATCATGTGACATGAAGACATTCTAAATACCTTTGTTTTGTTCTTATTTGAAGGATGGGGTGGGGGATATATTTGTGTCAAGAAAGATAACTTAAATTCATCATTATCAGATTAGCCACATCAGGGAGGGCGCTAGGTTCAGTGGTTACACTTGCTGAGAGTTCGATCCCTCGGTTATCCAACGGAATCATCAGTCTCTGATAAAAGTCCCAAATTTTTGTCTTTTGCTAGAAAGAAATGTGGTTCCTCTAGAACGGATAACCAAGGTATCCAGCTCGATTTCTGGAAGTATAGCTAACGTTTATTTGATTATCTCAGTATGCATATAAATACATACAGACGAGAACAAAATCCTAAATAAATATAAAACCATGTCAACACAGAAACATGGCTTAGCTGTTGTTTGTTAATTACTTTCAACTAATACTGACTTGTTAATTCTGAGTAACTAATGCTGGGTTACTAATACTGACTTGTTAATTCTGTGATACTTGTACTTGATTACTAATACTGACTTGTTAATTGTGAGTTACTAATGCTGGGTTACTAATACTGACTTGTTAATTCAGAGTTACCAATACTTGGTTACTAATACTGACTTGTTAATTCTGAATTACTTATACCTGGCATCTTATACTTACTTGTTAATTCTGAGTTACTAATACTGGATTACTAATACTCATTGAATAATTCTGAGTTACTAATATTGGTTTATTTACATCAAGTTACCAATACGGACTAATTAATACTGGATTACTAATAATGACTTGTTAATTCTTAAATACTAATACTAGGTGACTTATTCCGACATGTTTATTGTCATTTACTAATGCTGAGTAATTAATATTGACTTGTTAATTCTGAGCTGCTTATGCTGGGTAACTAATACTGACTTTTTACTACTGGCTTACTAATACGGATTTACTAATACTGAGTTACTAATACTGAATAACTAATATAGACGAACATGAAATATTTTTAATCTTACTAATAAAGTTAGACAATTATCATTACATATATACAAACAATACGTACACTAGTACATATGTCATGCATGGTAATGATTAGATGACTGACATTACTACGTGATGTTATTTTATCATGTCTTTACACTGTAATATGTTTACATATTGATATATATTTCAAAAATAAAATGAAAAACTGATATATATTTCAATAGCTAATTTCTATATTAACCTTTATATAATAAACTGTAGTGAAAAGGGTTTAATTTAATGAGGACATTTACATATTAATTTGATAAAGTCTTTATTTAGATCTTCGTTACATCGTCTTTTTACCCTTTTATAAGCAACTGTATAGCTTTGAATATCACATCAATGTTTGCCGGTAAATATAAAATATTCATCAACAAAATAACAAATGAAATAGCAAATGATAAAACATTGCTTTAAATTCACATTATGATAGCTAATTTATCATTTTATTTTTCATGAACAGAACAGAACCTAATTTTAACTGTGTGGGGGGGGGGGGGGGGGGGTGCAGTTCGGATTTTAATGCAAAGAAGGAAAGGGGTTGACACTTTCGAGTATTACTTAACTTAGTATTTGAAATTATTTCAAATGAATCATAACACATTTACTTTAGTAATCGGCTAAATTTAATCAGTGTATTAAATCGACAGTTTTATATATAATAAAATAAGTTCAAACACTAAACTGTGCCGTTCTTGACCAATATA